AAGCTCGTTAATGGTATCTATCGATCTTCTACCCGCGTGTTCGTTTATATATAGGGTTCTTCGTTTCGCATTAGTTAAAATTATTGTACTTTTTTGTTCACCCAGAATGAAATATTTTACAAAATAATAATGTGAGATAAAAAATCACACATTTGAACCTCTTCTTGCATGCAAACTTAATACAGACTTTTAACCCTTAAACTAAATAAATTACTGATTAATTTCTTATTGCAAAGAACTCAAAGACCTCATTTTCTTTTTTAAACTGATCAAATTAACGGTTTCCATTATATATATATATATATATATATATATATATATATATATATATATATATATATATATATATATATATATATATATATATATATATATATAATTTTTCACGCCTAACTGAAATAATCGTATATGTACTATATAGTCAAAATTCGACTAGACATTCCTATTTTAAACAAATTAATTTAAATTCGTTAAAACTGGGAAAGTATACGAAACCGTTGAACCATCTATCTCATTCCACGCGATTTTGCTTTTGTTTATCTTAATACAGAACGAAATCATGACTGGCCATAAAGCAGATTGTCGTGAACTATATATATAACAATGTCTTTAATTCGCATTAATTTCTAGGGCGTTGTGCTGGGAAATTGGATGTGGTAAAGATCCCTGATACGAATGTCATTAAGCTAAAAAAAGGAAGCCGTCAGGTTCTTGAATGGAATTTTATTTGTGCTGGAGACATATTTTTGAGCGCAGTCATATGCCGAAATGGAAACCACGATCTCATATCAAGTTTGGATAGTTACTACAAAATAACTCAAAAGCGTTCACAAAAGAATAACGAAGTTTCACTCCAACACACAATAACTATTTCCAACTTTTCAAGGAGTGAGAATATTACATGTACAACTGACATCCAAAGTTCACCATCGGCGACGTTCGTTCTTCTTGAAGAAGGTAAGGAGATTCATGTAAATTATAGTGAGCTCTTGAACGGCGCAAAGTATATAGCGATTAATATTGCCATTTCTGAAATAAGAGACTGAAATATGTTCAAACACTCTCAACAATCCGTAGTTGTAACTAATTATTAAGGATAAATAATTATTCGCCAATGAGAAGTAATTGTTGGGAATTATAAACCATATAACTGCCTGAGGCTGAAGAGAATAATCAGCATCAATTTTCCAACAAAACTAAGAAAAGAAGGAGATAGGAAATGGCTTAATTTACATTTGACTTAACTTAAGCACACAGTGATAGTTGGAAGCGGATGCGTGTTTCGAAAGTCTTTTGACTTTCAAAGTTTGTCTGAATTTTGAATTATAAAAACAATCCTCTTTTACCCTTTTCCCACATGCATCTTGCTTGGTGCAGGAAACATTTTGATTCGCGGTTGTCTGCCTTCTTTGATTAGCTAGGTTTCAATCATGTATGACGGTGATTGACATCCTGAAAACCATGCATGCAGGGTTAGCCATAAAACTATACTGCTATGCGACCAAATAACAATGAGTTGATTCTTGAATAGTTGTCAGTCAAATTGGTGTTTGAAATAGTAACCGATTATAATTTTTGGCTCATGATGGCCATGCAAACTAAGGGCTTTATTTCGCCTCGTTTTATCAGTTAGTCAGCTATGCTTGGACTAAAGACATTAATTCCAATAATGGAATTTTATAAGAATTCCATTAATTAAGCATCAAACAAAAAATGAGCATGTTATTTACCGCTTGGGTTGACCGCAACAAATACATATTTTTCAAAAGCATCCCAGTAACAATACGTATATAAAAAATATCGGATGAATAGGACCTAACATATATATGAATTATTCTCACATCTGGGTATGAGGATGTTATGCTCGTAGATGTGCAATAGTGCTGAAAATATGAAATTCCCTCTTTCGTCAGAAAGCTCTCTAGCATTGCGTGCATCGCAAACTAATGAAGATTTTCCTATAGACGTATTATTCTCAATATTATTTTATTTTATGCGTATATATAGGTCAACCGTCGGTTGTTGATCAAAGACAAAAAGACGAAAAAAGTTTTTTCAAAGAGAAAGGAGTTTGGTTAGTGGCTGGTGGCTGTGTATTACTGTGTCTTGTTGTAGCTCTTTTACTTTTATGGTTAAGAAGGAATGCTAGGGAAATAAACCCTTTAGTAATTCGCTAAAATGTATTCGCAAGTATAACGAACGTGAACTCACACACATGCAAACACACAATTATATATATATATATATATATATATATATATATATATATATATATATATATATATATATATATATATATATATATATATATATATATATATATATATATATATATATATATATATATACAATAATAAATCGTTGTCCGTTGTACAAAAAGAGTGCTCAATAACAAATTTAATTGATAGAGCAAAATATACTAATTATGATCTTAAAATTTTATTAATCGCTACACAGTGTTTCACGCTTTCAAAGCGATCTTCAGGCGATACTACCACAGTTTAATGATATTCAGTTGTGTAACTCGCGGCCGTCAGTATTGATTATGACGTCCCCAAGAATCGAATGCTCGCGTCATTTTTGTCGCGTCACGAAATCGCGAAAGACCGTGTCGCTTGCAGATTTCAATACAAAAACATAAGGGAAACAGCATTCGAACGGTGAAATATGCTAATTTTATAAAGTTTGTGTACTTGATGGAGGTTTTGGGGTTAAAATTTTGCAAGCCAATGGTAAGTGTTTTATATAACATGTATTATTGTTTCATATCAAATTTCTTTCGTTAGAAATTGCAAATCAAATAACCAAGTGTAAATACCACGAGGCTCGGAGGCTGTCATAGCTGCTGCATAAAATTTCGAAACTGATTATCAACTAAACAAACTGGCATGTAAATGTCTTGTTTCTCATTTTATTAATAACAAAGTCATGGTTTGAATATGTAAACCATTCTCCATTGTCACTCAACGCAATCCAAGACAGTCTGTCGGTCAACAATATTGAAATATTAAATTCAACATAATTAATTTTCATTCAGTTTTCATAAAGTGCTGAATCTTGATATACTTTCTGTTTTTTTTCTTTTCCCTGTCTTTCTTGCTCTTAATTCTTGGTTGTTGAACTTTAAAATGCAATGCAAACGCATTTTTACAAATAACTCATTGAGGTACATGCTTGGGAAATAAGAACACTCTGATACACAAAACATTGGCAATTTTGCAATTATGTGCTCTGCAATTTTTGATCTTTGGATATAACAATTAAGTTAATCAACAACTTTGCTCTCTATTTTAGTGACATACTGAATAAATTCTTCTTGAGGACCAGTCAGTCCTCCAGAGTCAGTGCTCTTGTTTTCATAAGCTTTAAAATACCACAGTAGCTGGCTGCTGTTGGTCAGGGTAAGCTTATGTGCACAAGTAAGGCATTTCTGTTTGTCCAGGCATTTTCGCAGTAGGTATCCTGCAACATATGTCAGTGCATTCATGGACATTAAATTCTTCTCAACTTCCTCATGCTTGTAGTCTTTCTCGTCCATTACAGGTCCTTTCTTGGT